CCAAGTCGACCACAAGGTGTTTGTGGTGGTTTGATAACTGCATTTCCAGGTCGAGAAAATTCTGATTCAACAAGCCTAGTGCCTGGAATATCCAGATTAAATAGATGAACTTTACGATAAATCGAAACAATTTGACCATCTTGATCGACAATAATATGTGCATTGAACAAACGTTTATCATCATTCGATTCGGGAACAACTTTTTCATGTAAACCACCTAACGATAACCAAATATTTAAATTTTTTGCTAAATTTTGATATCGTTGAACTGTTGGTCCATTGATTGGTTCACCATTTTCCATTGTTAATTTTTTACTCGGACATATCATATCAAAACATTCGGGTAGAAAAGCCATACGTGCACCATCATCTCGGGCCGATTTAATTAATTTTTCTGCAATTTGAAAATTTTCATCTTTATTCTGTTTCGATGTTAATTGTATGACAGCAATTTTTGTTTTATTATTATTCGAATCCATACTAAAATGATTACACTGTTTTATTAATGAAGATGATAATTGCAGAATTTTTCGGTTAAATTTATAGTTTGTAAAACAATTACCAACAAACATAATTTACGAAAAAAAACACACAGAAACAACCGAAAAACGAAATTTAACAAATTTTTATCATAACATCGGATAACATCATGAGATTTGAGATTGCAAAAAACACAAAAAACAAAATTGATTTTTCTCAATGTTTACATTTCCCCATTCAATCATTGAATTTATGAACAGCAATTCGAATCGAAATTTTTGTTTTTTTCATTTTTAATTTAAAATAAAACGACAAATGATCTCAAATACAAGTGTTAAGTGAAAAGATAAGTGGATAAATTTTTTTTTTGAATTGTCAAAAAAAAATGCAAATACAAACAATCAAAAAAAAATGATGATGAATATATTAATAAAATTTGATAGTACGGGGAAGGGAAAGTGTGTGTGTGTTTCATGATTAAAATTTTGTTTTGTTTTTTGTTTTCAAAATGATAATAATCCATACATAATGGTAATAAATTAAAGATTTGATAAGAAATGCTGATGATTGATGATTGATGCACGAAATGAAATGTCGAAAGAAGAAGAAAAAAAACAGATAAGAATTTATATAAGTAATGCTAAATTTTGAATGATGTCGATGTCGATGATAATGAAAATAATGGTAAGAAAAAATAAAACGAATCCAATATATTAAACACTACTAATCATTTAA